CTGGGATTTCCCCATGAAAATCCCATTTTTTTTTTGCTTGGTTTGTTCAGAAAAAAATTTTTGGGGGGGGGGGGAGGTAGAAGGAAAAGGTGTTTCCCTATGTCAGTGGTTTTCAACTTTTTTCATTTGCAGGCCCCTTTGCAAATTTCAAATGGAGGTGGATAACCTTTTAAATTGTAAGTGTGGGTATTCAGATACTTTAGATTGATCACAGTCATGTTTCATGGACTCCTTGAACATAGCCTATGGACCCCAGGGGTTCCCAGACCACAAGCTGAAAACCACTGCCATATATACATATAAAGTGCATACACATATGTTCAGAGATGCCCTACAAACTGGAAGGTAGGCTTGTTGAAAGCCTCTGGGTAAAGGTCAGAGGGGAGAACTGCAGTGGTGGTATCATGATGGGCATCTGCTACAGGCCTCCAAACCCAGAGAAGGAGGTAGACAAGCCTTCTTTGCACAACTGATAGAAGTTTCCAAATCACAGGGCTCAGTTCTTGTGGGGGCTTTAAACTATTGGGATACATGTTGGGAGGGAAACATAGTTGTGTACTAGCAATGCAGCAAATTTCTGGAGTGTATTGGGGATAAATTTTTTATGCAGATGGCAGAGAAGCCAACTAGGGAGAAAGCTCCTCTTGACTTACTGATCACAAACAGGGAGGAATTGGCTGAGAATGTGAACATGGAAGATAACTCAGGTGACAGTGATCATGAAAAGATAAGAGTTCAGTACACTAAGGGGAGGATGGAAGGAGAACAGCAGAATAAAGATACTAGACTTCAGAAAAGCAGACTCTGACAAGCTCAAGGAACTGGTGGGCAGGATCCCCTGGGAGGCAAGTCTGAGGGGAAAAGGAATCCTGTACTTTATGGAGGCCCTCTTAAGGGCACAGGAACAAGATATCCTGATATGACAGAAGAACAGGAAGCAACATGAAGCTATCCTGGCTAGACGACAACCTCTTCAAAGACATGAAACTTAAAAAGGAATTCTAAAACAAGTGGAAACTTGATCATCAAACCTTATGAGGAAAGACTAAGGTTTCTGGGACTGTTCAGCCTGGAGAAAAGTAGACTGAGGAGGGGACTTGGTGGCCATCTGTAAGTATGTAACAGGGTGAATATAAGGAGCTGGGAGAAAAGAAGTCCACTAGGGAGCCCCAGGGGAGGACAAGGAGCGATGGCCATAAACTGTTAGAGGATGATTTCAGGTTGGATGCAGGGAAGAGTTTCTTTACAGTAAGGGTGACCAGAATCTGGAACAGACTTCAACGAGGTGGTGCAGCCCTCAACCTTGGAAGTCTTCAAGAGGAGACTGGACAGACACCTTGTTGGGATAATTTGATCTCAGCAGTATTCCTGCCCAGAGCAGGGGGGGTTGGACTAGATGATCTTTCAAGGTACCTTCTAGTCCTTAATTTTTATGATGTGTATGATTCTATGATCTTAATAGGGGAAAATATGCAGGGAAAAAAGGCATGATTTAAGATGTAACTGTATGTCCCTTACAGAATACAGCTGGCAATCTAGTTATGGATGACATAGAAAGTATAACCATTTTCACTTTCATCTAAACTAGTATTCCCTTTTTCACTTTAGTCAGCGGTTTCCAATCTGTGGTGTGGGTACCATCAGTGGTACACAGACAACCTGTCAGTGGTATGTGTTAGCAGATTTATAATAATTACTTTATATGGCAAAAATTTCCTGGTAGTACTTAAGGTTGAACTGAAAAGTTTGCTGGTGGTACTTAAGGTTGAACTGGAAAGTTTGCTGGTGGTACTTAAGGTTGTATCATTTTAAATTGGTGGTGCACAATCTATCAGAGTTTGGGAACCATTGGTTTAGACTAAAGTATTCCCTTTTTTACTTCAGTCTTCACAAGTAGGGTCAGCTACCAGATGATGACTGCAGGTGACAGCAAGGATAGGGAAAGAAACAAAATATTTAGAGTAGAAGAACATATTAGGGATTACTTAGAGAAGATAGATGCTTTCAAGTGGCTAGGTCTGGATGAGATGCACTCTAGCATACTGAAGGAATTGGCTTGAGGTAATTTCAGAGCCATTGATTATCCTCTTTGAGAACCTGAGGAATCCAAGTGAGGTCCCAGATGACTGGAAAGGAGCAAATACAGTGCCCATATTTAAAAAAGGGAAGAAGGAGGATATGGGGAATTACAGACCAGTCTGACCTTAATACCTGGAAAGATCGTGGAGCAGGGCCTTAAAGAATCAATTACAGTCCACCTAGAGGAGAACAGTGTGATCAGGAACAGCCAACATGGATTCACCAAGAACAAATCATGCCTGACTAACCTGATTTCCTTCTATGATATGGTGACAGGCTCTGAGGATGCAGGGAGAGCAGTGGATGAGATATACCTTGATTTTAGCACGGCTTTTGACACTGTCTCACAACAATCTCATCAACAAGCTAAGGAAATATGGGCTAAAGTACAGTAAGGTGGATACATAACTGGCTGGATCACCATAACAAGTAGTCCTGAATGGCTGAGAGGAGATATCAAGTGGGGTTCCTAATTCTGGGCCCAGTATTAACATCTTCATTAATGATTTGGATGATGTAACTGAGTGTACAGATTAGAAAATCTGTGGATGAGTGGAGTTGCAGATACTCAAGAGGGTAGGGCTAGGGTCCAGAAAGACCTGGATAAACTGGAGAAATGGTCCATAATTAATCAGATGAGATTCAGCAAGGACAAGTGCAAAGTCCTGCACTTAGGATAGAATAATTGCAAGCACAAATACAGACTGGGGAGCATTTAGCTAGACTGAAGTACTGCAGAGAAGGACCTGGGGGTTACAGATGATCATAAGCTGAATATGAGCCAACAGTGTGCTCTTGTTGCAAAAAAAAACCCAACAGCATCCTGGGTTGTACTAATAGGATAATCACTTGTAAATCAAGAGAAGTGATTCTTCTCTTGATTCAGTGTGGAACAGTGTGTCCAGTTTGGGGTCCCACATTTCAAGAAGGATGTGGGCAGTTTGGAAAAAGTCCATCGTGGAGCAACAAAAATTATTAGAGGCCTGGGAGGCAAAATTTATGACAAAGGGTGAAAGAACTAGGATTATTTATCTGGAGAAGAGAAGACAGAGGGGAGATTTGTTAACAGTCTTCAGATACCTGAAGGGCAATTACAGAGAAGATGGAGAAGGGCTTTTCTCCATCATTGTAGATGACATGACTAGGAGTAACGGCCTTAAGATTCAGCAGGGGAATTTAGGTTGGAGATTAGGAGGAACTTTCTGACTATGAAGGTGGTCAAACATTGGAACAGGCTAACCACAAAAATTGTCAAATCTCCATTCCTGAACATTTTCTAGAGCAGGCAGGGCAGACACTTGGATGGGATGATTTAGTCAGGAATGATTCTGCTTTGAGCAAGAAGCTGGACTAGATGACTTTGTGAGGTCCTTTCCATCTCTACATTCCTATTTTTTTATACTTGGTTTATGAACTCTCAGTATAATAATCTCAAAATTTTACAATGGTTTGTAGGAAGGGTGATTGAAATAGGATGTAAGTGGTAATTTGATTAACAAAGCAGAGAGATTTGCATGCTGTACCTTCCATCACCTCTGACTTTTCATTACAGGTTTAAGAGTTATATTGTGCATTTTGAGAGTTATATTTTAAAGTGTGAGACAAAGAGGATAACCACAGGGTTCTAAATCAGCAGTCAACAACCTTTTAGGCTGTGGGCTGGAGTGACCCAATTTGGGTCAGAAGCAGATGGGTGGGCACTAGGACCCAAATGGCACTGCTTTTCCCCATGGCAGCACAGAGCATGCACTCACAGCTGGCACTTAATGCCCTCTGTTGAATGCCACCAAAGCCCCAGGTCTGCAAGCTGGATCAAATGGCTCTGCAGGCTGGATCTGGTCCACAGGCCAGAGATTGCTGCCCTCTGTTCTAAATTATAGCCTCTTTATTTGCTAATGGTTCTGATTCATTATTCAGCAGTGAGATAAAGGCAGACATTTTTCTCTGAAAGTGTATATGGAGCCTCATTTGTGTTTTCTTTACGAAAGTGTATGGTTGAAGTGAAATTCAGATATACATATGATTATATTTTCTATACAGGCATACATTACACACATACACTGATATACACACACATATAGCAATGCACATAGCAATGCAAACATAGTTTTATCTGTTTTGTGTATACACGTACACTCATGAAGATAAACAAATGCATGTCCCTGTATATTTTTCTATCCATCTCACCAATATGAACCACCCACACTCATCAACACACAAAACACAGGTAAAGGAAAATATAATTTACTGACCATGACCTATTACCATCTGTTGATTATCCTGCAGGTTTCTTATTCAGGCAATTTTTAACCAGTAAAGTATAAAAGGAAAAAATATTCTGCCACCTACTTTGGACTGTGTAAGAAAAGGAGCATGTGTAACTTTGTTTCCACTTTGTGTTGTATACTCCTTCTCAAAGTGACTTTTTATTTCATATTGTCCAGGTCCTGGAACACCCTGAAGCAAATAAAGAGATACAAATAACATTTTTAGAGTGCCCACAGTTATATTTAAAAGGGTTCAATTAGTTAAATAACTGAATCTAGCTCATATGGGTTAAATGTGAACCCTCACTGTGAACCTCTAAATACTTCATTTAAAGAAAACCTAATGCAAATGTTAAACAAGAAATTTAAAATAGGATGGAAATAAACTCTCGAAGATCCTAAAAAATAATACCCTGCAACTTGCTGCCCTCTTCTGACATAGCGTATTATTTCATTCACAAGCTGGATATATTAAAGTTTTAAAAATGTAAAATGTAAAGTGCTTAATATGTTATGATTTTTTTCTTGTTCTATTTAGAGGGATTCTTTTGACATTTATAATTGTAAGTTTTCTGAATAAAGATTTTCCATCTCAGTTTCACTATGAAATTTCAGATAAAATTCCTTAAACTGTCTTTCCTCTTTATTGTGCCTCTCAGATGGTTCCCTGCACCCAGATTTTCATGTATATGCTTCACAAGACAACCAAAAGTGTAGTATAAGATCCTAGATAGAACAAACAGGATTAATTCTACAATCTGTGTTCATTCAAAATTCATACTGAAGACTGCATCTCCTTTCTTGAACAAGTGTTTACTTGGTTGCTTGTGTTTACTTTGATTTCAGCAAAGGACAAAAAAAAAAAAGATGAGATCATTAAGGACCATAATAATTGCCCTAAAAAAAGCACTACCCATTATGCCATATTACATGGACATAGATCTTATTCCCCTTCTCTCTCTAACTGACTATAAGGTATGGTGGTACATATTTTTTTTCAATTCTGATATCCAAATTACTGCCATTACAAATGTTAAACCTTGACATTAATTACAGAAAACTCTATATAGCTTATTATGAAGAAATTAGTCCAATATTATTTCAAGCTTCTTCCATTTAGCAAATGAGTCTATCATTTGTTGTTTGTGTTGCACACTAAAAGGTCACTGACATGCATGTGGGCTTTGGACAGTTTAATCTTTACTATTTCCCAAGTCTGCTGAAAATGAGAGTGCTCAAACATTTGTGAGAGTGGGTTTCTTTCGCTATGCTTACTATTAGTGCTATAAAACACTTTGAAATAAAAGCTCGTTACATAAAGTATTTTCAGAATGGATCTTATCTCAGCCCAGCATTTTGCTACATTAGTATAGTACCATCTGCTTAATAAAAGGAAATATTGCTCTCCTAGCACAAGGCTGCATGTAACTAATGAGTTTGCCTCAGATGTAGGTAGTCCTTTTAGTGACCAATTACAAATGGTTGATTGGCTACTGCTTAATGTGTGCCTTCCATCTTACAATATCAAAAAGATTTTGCATCTGCAGTATTCATTTGCATAATTACAACATAAATTTCAGTTAACTCCAGAGACAATAAATTCTGAGTTTCTAATAAAAGGAAATAAGGTTAAGCTATATGGGGAAAAATAAAGAACAAATTAAATGTAAGCAGCTTTAAATCAACCATATAGAAAAATGTGACACAGATAAAGAGGATGGGGGAAATACTCGGGAAATTGATCAATAATAAAATATAAGAGGCATTGTGGTTGAAGTGCCATATTCAGATTATAAATAATTCAAAACATGAAATTAAACAACAAGTGACAGTAAGCCCTTTCCTGGGAAAATGCTGCAACAGTTGCCATAGCCTGTGTCGGGAGATCACATGTTGGAATAAAAAGTATCAAATTTCATTTGAACCTGAAAAATTAAGGAATTATGAAAATCAGCACACATGTGAAACTAGGTATGTTTTTGTTTCATCTTTAGCTTTCTCTTATCTTATTAGATCACTGAATTTAAATAACTGTTGTGCTAAAAGTGTGAAGTTTATGTACTCTTCCTGCTAGTCTATCTTAATTTGCACTTAGATTACAAAAGTTCCAAGTTACAATTGTGAATTGTTGATGTATTTTAGCATGCATTTTTGACTAAATATTTCATTGTTTTCCATTAATACAAGAGTATCCCTAAAATATGGAAGTCAAGAAACAGCAAGGAACTTTAGACAAAAATATGTTATTAACTGTCATCCACCACCTTACAAGGTAATTTTTTTACAAGGTATAAAAAGAATTTTTTTTTTTTAAGTGGAAGGCCTATTTTCAAATTAGTTGCTAAAGGAAAGGGCGCAAAGGACAGGATTTGCCTGCATGCTGACAGCATGCATGTGGCCAAATCAAAGTCTTTGTGCAAGTATAGATAATATGTCCATATACAAGTCAATCTTTTCTGTTTTTATACTCATCTTCAAAGTACTGCCCAGGAGCAACAGACAACAGCCCTTACTGCTCATTATCAGGTGAGCTAATCCATGGAGCTTGCTGGCACAACTTGCTAGAACAATTCTTATTAGTAACATGCACTCATGAAGATTCAAAACACAGCTATCCCACCAAGACGGGGCACCCAAATAATTCTACCATCTGTAACCATACTCTACAAACTTGACCTGTTCAAGAGAGGTTATGCATAGAAGTCTGGCTCTTGCTCACAGTTCCAAATATAAAATTTGGTTCTTGCTAAAGGTAGACTGACATGTCTTTCAGCAACAGAAAAGAGGTGATCATTATAGGGCTGATTATAAAACTGACAATACATGCTACAAATTAAGTCAGCAACCGATGACTTGCAGGCTGGATCTGGCCCATAGAGCCACTGAATCCAGTCCATGGAGCTGGCTTAGGCTGCACCTACACCCATGCCCACACAGCAAGGAGCTGTGCTAGCTCCTGCCAGTTTCCAGCTATGCCCATGTTGTTGCTACTTCTCCCCACCCTCCTGGCTCTTGTCCAATGCAGACCAGGTGGTTTTGGTGGCATGTCTGTGGCAACGGCCTTTGCCTACACCAGCACCAAAACCAGGCAGCTGGGAGCGATGCCTATACCACCATCTACCTCAAACCCCTGCTCCCTGCCTGTGGTGCAGGTGTAGCTTCAAGGCCATGGGGAGCTATGCCAGGGACAACCAACTGGAAGCTGCATCGACACTATCGCTGCCTCTCCATGGCTCGCTCTGTAGAGTATATGCAGTAGGCCTGTGTGAAGCAGGAAGTATTTGACCCAGATTCAGATTTGGCCGATTTGGAGGGACAGTAATTTGATTTGGTGATTCAAATCACTGTCCCAATTTGATTCAGCAGATTCGGATTCAGAGATTCAGCACCAATTCGGAGATTCAGCCACAGACTATAATGGGAAATCACTAAAATACCTATAAATTTGTTAAAATACCTATAACTTTTTTTGCAGATTCAGATGAGAACAGCTGGGATGGTAATCCCTTCTGAGGGCATACCTAGCTTAAAGGAGATAGGTGCAGGGGGGGTTTCTTTCAAACTGCTGAAAGCAAAACTTGTATCACTTGTGTGTGTTAAGGCAGAGCAGGTTAAATGCAGCAGGGATTGTAGCCCCTCGTGCAGGCATGAGACCTGACAGGTTTCAGGCAGGGTGTTACAGCAGTTTCTGTGAAAGTGCACCTCAAGGTTCTGAAAGCAAATAAAAAAAGGAAGTAGGTGTGGAGTGAGGACGGTGGCACTCAGTCCATCTGCACATGGAGCTTGGGGAACCCCAGCAGTGGGAGGTTCACCTTCAGGAATACTAGCTGCTCCACCAAACCAGGATCCAAGGAGGTGCAGCGGGATATCACAACATCCCCAGCAATACTGAACACCCTCTCGCTTGGAACACTGGTCAGTGGACAGGACAAGTGTTCCCGAGCAACCGTGGCCAGATCCAGCCACACCTGGCTGCAGGTTGCCCAATAGGCCAAGGGATCGCAGTGCAGCGGCTCAACGTCCTCAGTGAGATAGGTAGCCACTGAGGCCTCCACACTACCTGCCTGATGGTGGGGTCTGGTACCACTGGACCCCAACCTTGAAGCCATGCCCTTGGCCCACGTTGGCAGCAGCTGTGGTGGAGGAGATTGGCTTGTGGTTGGAGTGCTGGCACGGGAAAGTGGATCTCCCTCTTCCACATCCCCCCACCTCTGCCTTTCTGCCTCCCTGACTCTGATCACCAGCAGCTTCTTCCAGTGGTCGAGGGTTTTTTGCTGCTGTAGATGCTCCCCTTCACCCTCGGGTCACACATGCCCATCAGCATATGACCCGTACTGGACTGCAAATGATCCAGACAGTTTTTGATGCCCTCCTTCAGCTGCTAAACCAGTGCCTGCACCTCTGGTGAAAATGGCTTGCCCCAGCCAGGAACTTCGATCCCCTGGAACTTCTAAATTTAATTTTCAAGCTCCCTCACTATGGGGGTCACCTGGCTGAGGAGGGCATCGCCAGCACTGAGGCTCTCAGTGGTCTCAAGGAATGGCTTGAGGACCACCAAAATCTGGGAGATGGTATTCCACTGTTTTGTTAAGGGGGCTGCTGGTCCCAATCTTCCTGACCAAGGCCATCTCATGAATGGCATTCTGTTGCTCAACCAGCCTTTCCAGCATCAGGTATGTGGAGTTCCACCAAGTCTCCACATTCTACATAATTTTGTGCTCTGGAATGTTCAGCTCTGCTTGTTTGTCCTGCAGCATCTTGCCCTGCTTGATGCTCCAGTAGAAGTAGCCCACCATCTTTCTGCATTTCAAAATGAGCTAGCTGGTAGTGATGGCACTATCTCCAGGAGTCCTGTCCCCCTCTAAGGCATCCCAGACTACAAGGTGAAACTTGTATGCCACACAGCAGATGCCAACAAAGTGGGCATCATGCACCACCTTGACCATATTGCCCCCATTGTTGGTGACCATAAACTCACGGGTGAGCTCACCCTGCCCAACGAACCAACACTGGACCATGTGGTTCATGGCCACCATGATCTCCCTTCCTGTGTTGGACCCATCCATCACCTCTGCTTGAAGGACAGCCCATCAACACCCTGACTGATTGCACCAGTGCCCTGTGAGGGAGAGGTAGGAAAGATCTCCACCCTGGCTGTTCTAGATATCTGAGGTGAAATGCAAGGATATC